AGCAAACGAAAAGGCAAAGGCCGGAAAAGCAGCGCAGGAAAGCCAAGGGGAAGTGGAAATGGTCAAACGGTACGACCAAAGAAATTTTCCTGCGAATCAGCGTATTTTTCATGCTGCAGCGATTATTCACCTCTGCGTCGGAAGGAAGGTGCACTGGAAAAATTTAAAATAATTATTTTTGATGGAGGGCTCTGTCATTTTATGTTTAAAATTGAATTTAAAAGTATGAAGATTATATGTGGATTTTCCTTATATATATATATTGTTAACCAAAATTAACCATTCCCATTTTTAATTGTAACCATTTGAAAGGAGTAAGTTTACCACAGAATATACCTTTTTAACTATCGTATAAACATACATACATTTTGCACGAGTGTAAAGCTTTTTAAAACGTACAATAAATGATACATGCATCTTATATTAATTTAAAATTTTTTAACAGTTTTTTGAAAGTCATAAGAAATATTTATAATTTTTACGATTATGCAATAATTTAGGAATATAAATTAATGTGGGGATAGGGAAAAATGCCTTCCATTAGATTGGGGAGCTGATCACTAAATATTTGCGAGGAGTAGTTGTTTAATTTTAAATTACCAAAAAAGGGGTTTTAGGAATGTTCGTTTCAATTAAAAATAAAGTTAATAATAAATAAATAAATTATATAAATAAAAGCGGTTAAATTGATTCCCTTTCTCAAATAATTTTCCGCTGTGTGGGAAAAATACCGACTCACCCACTCAATCCGGCCATCCCACCCAAAAACTCCCAGCTACCCATGCGAGTCGTACGTCTTGGCCAAAGTGTCATAAATTCATAATAACGCAAATAAGCACCGGCACTAGCAGAACGCAAAACTTATCGGAGGCATCTAAATCGGTCGAACCAGCAGCAGCGGAATCGGCCAAAGCCGTGGCCATAGGCATCCTGCCAATAACAACATCGAAGGGCTCGTCCTGGGTGTGCGTCTGTATGTATATGGCGGCAAATACGTTTTTTACGACTTTATGCTAAGCACTTTTTATGCATAAAAGGCAAAAGGAGAAAAAAATAGCAGCAGGCGGCGCAAGAAAAACCACCACCAATGGACCAGAGATGATGGCCAAACCACCACGCAGATCCTGCACCACCGCACCACCAGCAACATACATAACCGTTATTTTCCTCTCGGACGGGTCCTTATTTATGCGTTTTTTAGTATGGAAAGCACAAGGACACACGCACAGCCAGAGATATCCTTTCAGCGTCGCGTATGTAAAGAACAAGTGCGCTCTTGCCTTTTATGCCTCGGGTAATATATTGAAAATAGCCGTCCAGCGTAATAAAATGTATCTTCACTTGAGTGTTTGTGTGCGCAAGGACCTCCTGCGCTTCTGTGTGCGTTTGCATGCATACCAATAAAGCTGCCAAATGTGAAAAGCAAAAGCAACAGCCACAAACAAAACTCAATTTGCTTACGGAGTCACAGTGGTCTATTTATTGTTATCACTTACAACAAAATATATGTGAACTCAAAAGTTTAAAACTCGACAAGCTTAATTTAGTTTCAGCTTAAATATTAATTTATTTTGTCATTTAACAGCAATTTTTTGTCAAAACGTTGTTAAAAAACCAAAACTAATTTGATGTAGCTTTTCCCTTTTTTCATAACATTTTCTTGTGCAAACTATTTTTTGATAAAATCCATATTTACATTGTTTATGTGTTAGGCAAATTAATATTTCAAATTTAAAAACTACTGGTACTCAAAGACAGATTGACAATATATATATATTTATATTTGTTGTAAACATATAGATTTTTTTTACTCGTAATATAATTGTCAACTTATAAGTAGGGAAGTATAGGGCAAGGTGACGAGTAGAGTAAGGTGACGAACTTGTCAAATCTCATATGTGAGTAGTAATTGCATTCGATTTCCTGGGTATCGTGACAAACATGTTGTAGGTACTCTGTTTGGTATTTTTTGACATTATATCGTTATTTGTTTCTTTTCTACAGCAGATTAGTAAAATTTTTTGTTAATTTTGTGAACTAGTAGTTGAACATCTTAATTTGTTCAATTTAAACCCAGAACTGAAGCAGACATTTTTTGTAAGTGTATTCCATTATTGTACATTTTCAACATTTCTTACAGAAAAAATAAAAAAATTTTCCCATCTACATAGAGTTCTAAAATGTATTTATCAGTTTGTAACCTTACCCAACAACTTTTAAAAGTGAAAAGAATATTGGTATACGCCAAGTGCTGTAGTACTTAACTCTGCTTGAATTTTATCATCGAACTTTTACAGGAGTACACACTAAAAACACTACACTAAGATATTAATTTTTTGGAGAAGTGACATGCTAAAAACGAATCGTTCGCCCCTATATCCTACACTCCCCTATACAAATTTTTTGAGTTATGTATTTGTAATATTTCAGCCCACTGTGTGCCAGAAAGTGCGCTGACCACGCAGTCTTCGTCCCCTTCGCACACCCCTCGATTTTTTCCATCCATTGTCATCATCTTTGTCCATTTGGCAATCCCCTTGTCTGAGGCTATGTTTTTGAATTGCTGCTCAATGAAATTGCATCGATGATTATGTTGATTTTTCTATCCATTTCCTTTTTTCTCCAATTTTGCTTGGCTATTGTTTTGTTTGCCATTTCTTGCTGCAACTGTTTTTATGGTCATAAATAAGAGATGCTTGCAAGGGCTCGAAAAAAGAGCATGGAAATCGAAGCTTTGAATAATTGATGGCATTGGAACTATCAAACAGAACAAAGAGATATATTCACAAAATGCGTCATGCTAAGCGATAGATTTCAGTATTAGCCGAGTGCTGGGGAATGAACTGCAAAATTGGCAAAATGATTGTACTTCCAACTTTCAAAAATTCAAACTCAAAAGCTATAGAAGCGATAGAAAATTATTTTTGCAATCAGACTTTTTGAATAATATTAGAAATCTTATAATAATTTTTATACACCCCCAACCGCCTTTACTGCTAATTCTATTGTTAACTAAAATTATATTTTCCAAGAAATTATTTTCTAACAAAGGCATTTTTCTTAACCACATTGAAAGAATGTTAAATTCGGAGATTACTAACATTTCACCCTCAAAATCACCCTCGCCTATACAAAACCCCATACACATATGCCAAGTGCACGTAACTAATACAAAATAGATTTAAATTCCATTTGGACGGCATTAGCACTTTGGGTCACAATGGGAACTCAGCACAAATCTCCCCAGAGACCGAATTGGGTGTAAACAAAAATTATTCCGTAAGTGTTTCCATAAAAAATGCATAACATTTTGAGGAATGTCGTCTCTCTAAAATTGCGAATAATTTGAAACATTTTCTGAAACGCTAAATAAATGCCAACGTTTCAAATAAACAGTGGGAGTAACAGTGAGAGAGTAATTTTATTTTTGTAATGTAAAACGAATTCGCAACTCATTCTCAGCCCTTCAGATGAGTCTATTTTCCTTCGTCCAAAGAAAATATATTTACAAATAAAAAGGGCAAGGGTCCATGAAGGTGGAAACAATCTAGCCGCAAAAAAAGTAAAAAATTTCAAATGTCCAGCATTTGGGAGGGTGTCTGGCTGTAAATCCCACATGAAAGATTACCCAGAGACAAACCCTAAAAAGCACTTGATGCCAGACGCACACGCATATGCGAGGGTAGGAAAAGATGAATAAAATGTAAAAAATAACCTCAAAAAATGTATAATTTTTGTGTGAGGCCCTGGGGCGATTTTTTCTATGTTAACAGTGTTGTTTTTTCCGCCTTCTCGACCCCATGAGGGTTGCGAGAAGGGGAACTTTGACATGTTATTATGCTGAAATAATTTTATAATTTATTTATTTTTCTTCTTCCTTCTTGGGGTCCTTTTGTGCTCCGCCTCGCTAGCCATTCGTTACGCCTGCCATCTTCCGTGGGACTAGCAGTTGACGTCTGAGTAAGCTTCTTCATTTGGGGAGCCTTTAGTCCTGCCGGCACATCCCGTCGCTTCCTCACGATGAATGGAGAATGCTGATGGCAGCATCAGAGTGACATTTCAGCATTTCCTGTTTTTCTTGTCCGCGGACCACGCACAATTGCTAAAAAAATATTTCTGAAATCAGAGTGGGTTGAGAGTTTGTAATAGAGACATAAAATAAAATTTTCCTTGAAATATATTATTTTACAAAGCATGAAGGTACAAAATCCGCTTGATATAAACTGTTATGAGCATAAAAAAAAATAACAGCAGGGTGAAATTAAGTAGTTGCTCTTAATTTCACCCTGCTGTTATTTTTTATACTTTATTGATTGAAATTAAGAAAAATGAATTTTGTTTTTTTATTTTTTATATCGGGTAGGCTTGGTCAAACGATTGGTAGCACTATCGATACTATCGATGGTTTTAGAATACTGGAAACATCGATAGTCTGGACTTAAAATCGTTGGTACAGTACACATTCTTTAATTTATGTATTCAACATCGAGCATCTTTTCATTATAATTGTGTTAAAATTTAGATAGATCTTTTATGTTTTTTTTTAATTTTTAAGAATCAATTTTCAATTAAATTAATTTTTAGCATTCTTCTGTTTATGTAGTATGTCCTTTGTTTTCTACGATTTTTGATAGTATCGATAATATCGGTAGTGGCCACTATCGATAGTCAAAACTGTCGATGTTTTCCAACCGTAATTTCGGGCTTGAAGTATCGAGTATTATTGTAATAAAGTAATACATTTTGAACCTCACAATTGCTTTGCTATAAATTGTTGTTACCCTCTGACCTTTTATAAAAACCGACCCTGCTCAAAACTTTCGCATACCAGCGCCAAACATAACTTTTCAAATCGAATTACCAACTCTACGCACCAAACCAATTCCATACGCAACATTACGCAATTGAAAATCGAATTTTGCTTTCCTTTTCTATTCCAGGCCGACGCAAAATGTTCACAACAAATTAGATTTTACAATTCCAGATATGCGGCCATAAAAAATTGCATTTATGTGTAAGGAAACGAATCGAGCCCCAGAGCACGATAAAGACGAAACTCCCACTGATTAGATTGGCCAGCCAGGATGATTGGGGATGGAAGTTTGGGGAGCTTAAGTGGCTGCTTGCCAGGAATTTACATAAAGTCAATCAATCATGGCATTTGCCAGAGCCATTTTGCATGTGAGGCAGACACTTGTGAGATTTCATTAATATCAAGTCGGTGGCGGATTCCGGGGGCCCCTGTCTTGGGATTAGCATTTCGTCGCTCATACGCCCCCGTGGCACTGGCATGAGCTTGCATAATAGACGAGGACGATGTCCTTCGCCCCGCCGAAGGGTGTCATGATGAATGACCGAGCTGTCCCCGGGTCTCTTCTGGTCCGCACTTGATCCTGCTCCATTGTCCTGCTCGCAGGACCATCATTTTTCATGCGTTTAAAAAAACCAAGAGGGGGGTATAAGCAGAAAAGAAAGCAACAGTAGCCGCTGGTCAGTAGCTGAAAAACTGTTCAAATTTGATTTACTCACTTGATTACTCGATGGCGTTGGTGCGAGGAATTCCCCCGTCCTTCCACTTTGATTTAGCCATGTTTCGTATGTATGTGGCCCCCAAGGTCTTTGTTCGCCCAATTGTCGAGTGGCGTGTAATTTGCGTAAAAATGTCATATTCATATTCGGCCGGAGCTGCTGATGTTGATTGATGAGCCGGCAGCTCAAGTGGCAAGAGCCTCAAATTATTCCAAGAGCTAAAACACTTTAGTCAACGGATCGCCCGGGGAAAGAATGTTTAAGATTGATTTAGTTTAGGTTACGGTTCCAGAAATCTGTGGTAGTTCTAGCAATTTATTCCTTAATGCTTTAATATTGTTAATTTAATATTAATTTTTTATTGTACACTATTGTAGCCCACTACAAAATAAGCAAAGCCCACGCAAGAAAATCAAATAAAAATTTTCCAAAGTAGAAAATGAAAGTTTGACTAGAGGGTCCTTGTGAATTTGATGTGCGTTTGTGTCAGGAGCAGGCAACAACAAGAACTTTTGACCCTAAGAGAGGAGAGCAAAAAAAGAAAGCACATGGCAAACGTAATTTAAAATTTAGAAAATAAAGAAATACCCGAAATGCTCCTGTAAGTCCTAAAAAGGACACACGCCTGATTGGCACGCACATGACACAAACAGAAAAACATATATGTACCATATACTACATACAATACAAAGTCAAATATTTGACGTTGGCGCATTTCTGTTTCAACTTTCTATTTGGCATTTCTTTCTGCGGACCTTTTTGTTCATTTAAAAAAACCCAGAGAATTCTGGGGTCTCCTTCCAGCAACACAGTAATGAAATTGACATACATATATGTGCGTGAGTGTGTAAAACTGTCTTATCTGGAGGCCAGCCAAACTCGGACTCATCCTTATCCCAAGAACCCCTCTTTTATTTCTTATTTTCCAGGCATTCGGCACTCGTGTGTCTATTCAGGTCTGTGCTAATTTCTACGCATTTTTATCTCCCTTTGACTTTGGGTGGGTGTAAAATAAAAAATCCAAGTTGATTACTCAGGCATTCAAAAGGCATTTTGATTAGTCCAAAAGTAGCATGTCTTCCAAGAGGGGCTGCCATTTTGCTTTTAATTTGAACTTCTGATTGGGGCTGAAGGGCGTTTCTTATCCGCCAGGTTATACTTCAAAGCAGTTTTGACTTAAAACGAACATTAGCAAAAAGGAAATCAGAGTGACACTTCTGTACCTTTGTGTATTGGTTTTTTGGAATGACAAATAATCGATTTAAACTTTCGCAGTCACTCACATCATTATCTTCTCAGATAATATTTAATCATTATAAATGAAGGGATTTATATATACTTGTAAGGATGCTTGTTTTTTTATTTAATCCTCTTAATTTTTAAACAGAAAACAAATTTATTAATTTATTTAATTTCACATTTTTCTACCCGATGTCTCTTAGCTCCGAAATAAGTTTAGTGTCAACCTCATTTTGGTGTATGCCTGCGTTTTGCCAATATTTATCTGGCCCATTTCGGGAGTTGTGTAAATTTTCCAACATTAAATAAACATGAAAGAAGAACAACACAAAAGTTGCCAACTTGAGTTGATCAGCATTGAAATTGAACTTTTTCCCTTATTTAGTTTTATTTTGTATCTCGTATTTTATATGCAGGAGGGCATATATTGGCACAAGACAAATAATCACAGCCCCCACTCCAACTTTGTCCTGTGTCTCTGTGTAGTGTAAATAAAATGTTGCAAAATTTTGCCTCTTTTTTGTGGAAAATTTGTTCAATTCGAGAGGTTGGGATTTGGTGGGACTTTGAGGTTCTTTCCGTGTGCTCTACGGTTCGTTGCACGTTGCCACTGATTGGACACATGTCGGCAGTGAAAAATCTACGGGCAGGTACCTTCCAACTAAACCGGAAGGCGGCACGTGTGTGGGCGGGGGCGGAGGGCGTGGCTGCCACATAATGAGACATTTATTTAAAAAGAACATTTGAACATTTTTGATGGGCCATATCTTGGCTTGTCAAGCTCCAGGGCTGACATTTTCCTCAATGCTTTTTTTATGAGACTGGGGAAGGTGTATAGCAAAAAACGTGTCCTGTTTTTCTAAGCAGTCCCTGGGATATGAGCCATTAAATTAGTTAATTTTGGAGTGTATTTCATTTTAAATATGTTCTAGGAGGGGTAAAGAAAAGTTGTAGACACATATGAGGGTTTCTAAAGTTCGAAAAAAAGATACAAACGATAAATATATTAGGTAATCACACTTTTCTTCAAGGATCAAATGCGTTTTTAAATTACATAACAAACTTTGTATTTGATTTATATTACTTTTACCATTAACATCTTTTCAAACCCTTTTAGTCATCGTTACAAAAACATAATCATATATCATCTGTCTTGCAATTTTCCCGATTCATAATTTTCATAGAAATTAATATGAAATCAATCAAGTATAATTTTCATTTACGTTTTGCCGATTTGGTTCCGTTGATTTGCCGGATCATCGTCGACATTGTGTTAATGGAAAAGTTATGCTGCCCGCAAGAAAAGAGTTGAAAATTCCAATTTTTGTCATGCTCATCGGGGGAAAGTTTCTCGGTAATTTGACCGGGACAATCGTTAACCCCTTATCGCCCCCGCGCAGCTGAACTGAGCATTCATTAACTGCCCCCAAAGCGTAATTAATCTCTTTCTCGCAGGAATATTTCCCCATCCGCCATTTCTCCAGAGAAAGCCACCCCTTGAAATGGCAGTTGCATGTTGTAAATTAGATTTTCGTCTGTCATGACAACCCTCGCGCGAGGGTTGCTGCAGCATTCGAATGCAAAACTGAATTTGGGTTTGGTCATTAACCTGTCTGAGGCAAAACTTAGATTCGGATTTCTTCCCCCAAAACGAAGGATACAGCGAAATGCTTTCAGCTTCCGAAGTTTTGCAACCCTAAAGTACAGAGTTTCCACACTGTCACGATTCTGATGCGGCGCCATTTTTGGATCACGCAAAACTTCTTAATGAACTTTAAGGAGACTGCAAAGGAAGTCGATGGGGAAAGGGGTAATATAACCGCACAAAAGGGTTAAGCAAGTGTTAAAGGGTGAAGGGAGTAGTTTTGGAAAGGGAGGAGGTCATCAATCATATTTCATACATAGCTGAGTCATTTACTCTGCTCAGTTTGGGTTACTTAATGGGTTTATCCCAAGAAGGGGAAAGTTTAATCATGGGGAACAGACAGGTCCAGATGGAAATTTTATAAAAATTAACCTTGAAAAAGATATAAACGGATTGTACGTTTTTTTAGTTTAAGTTTCTTTTTTAAGATAGGCAAATAAATGGGACTAACACAGACTATATATACGAATAAGTATTGATGTCTTTAATGCCTTAGTTAAAGTTCCTTAAGAATGATAAATAGTTTCAGTACCCAAGGAAATGATCTAAAGTAGCAAACACCGAAATACGGTTGGTTTTAAAAAACATTTAAAATCCGTCAAAAAAACAAACATGTTAACAATGTTAAAAAAATCCCAAGATGGCAATTTCGGTATTTCTAAACCTATTTGAAGACCTTGCAGATACATTTGGTATGTATATCCCCAGGCTCAGGGTGCAAATAAATCTTTCGGCTCTACTGAGCATTTGTAAATGCGAAATGCTTATTTTTATGCGTTTTCAATGCCAATTCCAAGGCAAAACCAACAAAATCACATGGAAATAATGGAAAAGCAATTTCCATTTCAACAAGGGAGAGAGAAAGCGGGGCAGATACAATTCCCCAGCAACGAATTGACCATTAAAATTATACCCACAGGACGAGCAGGCATAAAAAGTAGAGGATGCGAGGTGTTCGGGGACTTCTATATCTCCAACTTGAATATGAAATCGTTTGGAAATGCCCAACGACCAAATTGGCATTTGGAAAAGTGCAGAAAGACAGAAGAAGATGTTTGAAAAGAGTTTTTTGTCGGTTGGTCACATTTGTGTTCTCGTTAACTGCGTGGGTGGTGGACCAACAGAAGGAGAAGTACTGGGAGAGGGAACTTCCTTACGTGTTGGTTGGTCATATTTTAGAAACTAATGTGACATTTCGATTATTCGATTGGATTTAATGTGTTTTATGAGTTTTACACGCTCCAAACGTTCTGTTTTTCCTTCTTTCCCTGTGTGTGTCGTGAAAGTGATGACAACTCTGGCGGGGGAAGGGGATCCGAATGGTTAGGCCCTGTCACTGCCTTGATTCAGAGATAAATGTCGTGGGCGTGGAAGACAAGGCCAAATAGAGGAAGGGCATCTACAAAGTAGGACGATTCCTTAGGTTAACCTTTTATTCTTCTCATTTTGTGTAACGAAAATCATTGAGCTATTTCACGGTTTTGGAAAGTGGGTAAAAACGGTCAGATTCAACATCTATTTTAAAATTGGTTTTAGTTCAAAAAATGAATTTTAAAACCCCCCAACCTTAAAAAAAATCATGGCTTGTAAAAAGATTCCAAAAAATTCAATAGCTATTCCTAAAGCTGCTTACATTTATTTTTAAATATTGGAAATTAATGGATACAGTGACATTACTAAGAAATAAAACCTTATATTTTTAAACAAAAGTTGAAAATACTCGTACCCATATTTACTAAGTAATTATTTAAAAAGTCATGGCAAATATAAGTTTTATAAGTTGGGTAGTGGAAATTTCAGCAATCTTCATATGGCCATAAATTTAGTTCTTGTACTTCATTCTTGTAAACATTTTGCAACATTTTCTTTTCCACTTTACTTTTTGTTGAGAAAACAATTTTATTATATGGGTCAATATTTTGAACGACTTTTTTTCGCTTGCATTAAAAAACACACAACTAACCCGCAAAATGTGGACTTGCCGAAATTCACTTAAGCATCTCCCCTTGATCATCACGATTCCAGGCAAAGCGTACCCCAAAATAGTAGCCATTTCCCTGAAATTTCCCTCTCCGCCAACCTTATCTTACCGCCTCTACCCACTGCCGTTCAAACTTTAACTCATTTGTATGCCAAACAGCAACAGAACTAAAAGTTTTTTCATGTGCCTCCCCCACTTGGATTTATTTATTTTACTTTTTTCCCTCATCTCTTTTTGCCCAGCTCTGCACTTATTACTTATTACTGGACACACACGAAGGCGAGAGCGAGGAAAAACCCTAGACATGCGAGACATGGAAATTCATCATCAAAAATGAATAATGTCTACACTTAATGCGGCCATGGAAGTAGCAGACCCGAACTCGATTCCAACTCGAACCCCCGGAAAACTCGGACTCTATGGATAAGTCGCATCGCACCCTGCTGAATCGCAATTCGCACCCCATCAAATGGCGGGGCGTGAAGCCAACGGAAGGCTCGGCAATCCCAAGTAGATCAGAGATGGGTC